GGGACCAGGGACTTCTTTTTTTGTGTACACTCTCCTTCTCTCTCCTAATACATATATCCTCTGGAAATTATTAGTGAGACTTCTTCATGCCAAGGAAAGTGGGAGGCAAGGATGAGCTTTTAATGACCATTGTTTTACTCACACAACCTGTTGTGCTAAATATGGACCCCAGTAAACAAACTAGAAGATCCCTGAACCTTTATTCTATAAATACATGATGGAACAAATGTCCTTTTTCTTTTATTTCTTTTTTGTCTATGTAAATCTGATAACACGGTTTCTTTCATAAGTATCTTACATAAGCACACAAAGTCACATTCAGAAAGAGAGAAGTTTCTCAGTCTGCAGACTTAAGTCAAGGAACTACTACCTAATCAATGCCAGTGTAATCTCTTCTATTCATTAGATGACCTACTTTATTGGCCTATTTTTAACAAGCAGAGAATCATCAATGCTCTGCTAGTAGCATTCATCAAAAGCCATTAACTAAGTGGTTAGGCACGGCAGATTATGGTGGAAAAGGAATGTCTATCCTATGAATGGAAGATGAATATACAGTTTCCTCCCAAGGGAACAAGAAAGAAGTGCTAACTCCACAAAATTCAGGGAAAGAATTGGTTCCTTATGGGTGCAGACCCAATGTGGACTGGTAAACAAATATCAATTCCATGAAAGAGAAAGAAAAACTGCATGCAAAGTGTTGTGATTACAACCTTTCTTTCTGCCTTCCAGATAACATGCCTTTTTTAAAAAAAAAAAAATTATTGATTGATGGTCCCAGACTAATAAAATACAAATAATTAAAAGTACAAGTAACATAAACCTGATCCAGTAAGTTAGTAATGAATAGGAGTTGCTAACTCTGCAAATCATAGCTACTAATAAGAATTAGGAACCTTTATGAAGTTGCCCATATTTAATCTCACGGAAGGCGACTAGTAACCTCTTGATCAGAAAGGCAATTAAGTTTTCTGATAATTGGACTTACAGGTGTGAGATGTTCTGAATTGTTTACCACTTGGACTGCAAAAAGGTTGAAATTTTATTGGGAATCACAGGTCACAGGCCCAAAGGAGAAAAAACTAAATTTTACAATTTCAGTACTGTTGTAGTTTATCCTTCCTATGTATTCCAAAACGCTCTGCATCTGAACGAAAGTTAGCTTCAGAATAAAAGATGTATGCCAGTCATTATCTGTGGTTTATTGTGGTTTATTATGTAGTAAGCCCTAATCCTCTAAAACTAGGCAGAGAAATCATTTGACATCCAAGTATTGATTAATGACAGTTCACTAATTCATTGTCAATAATATTGTCAATATTATGGCTATCCATTATAGTTTCACAATCAATTATTAAAATTCTTAGATACAGTAGTGGCCAAAATTGTGGAAACCTTTTGGGAAAAGTGTACAGTAGAAATGCCACCTTTGGTTAAATTTCCACCAATTTTTCTTCTAATTTCTTTATAACTGTAGCCTTGTTCACTTAATAATACTATTTTACATCACTTTCTGGGCAACCAGTCAACTCACTAAATGAAAGAACAAAAAAACTCACAACCAACTTGATAGCGATCACATAACACACTGACAAATATCCTCCTCTCAGCTTCAATTGACAAATATCCTCCTCTCAGCTTCAACACATGACATCAGTAACTGAATCCTACTGTGATCTGATTGGCTCATTGCCAAAACAAGATAACACCTGATTGGTTCTCTAAACACTCATGCTCATTGGCTACAATCAAATGAAGGAAAGCTACCTGATATCAACCTAAGCAAGTTGTGCTTCCTTTTTCTGGGTACTTGGCTATATCTTTTCATAGAATACAGTACAGATAATTGAACAAACTATGTTGCATTACATTCTTGATTAAATTATCTTTCCATTGATATATAATTTTATGGTACTACTCCAAAAAAAGTGATGTTATTAGCCATCAAACCTCAAAAATACACTTTCCCAAAGAGGTTTCCACAATTTTGGCCACTACCGTATAGAGTGTTATGTCACAAGAATTCCTTCAATGGATATGGAGTTACAAGAATCTGTTTCTTCTATCATGCATGGAGCACTTTTTAAAAATCTTAATGATTCCAAAGTAACAATCAGCCTAGTTAAACTTGCACAATTAATTAATCTTTTCCAACAGTTCCCTAGTAAATTTTCCATAAAATGCTGGAGTCCTGCCAGCAAGGACACCTGGGCTTGCCTTTTCCTCAATGCAGCTGAGTTAATTTCCTTGCCTTGCTGCTGTCTCTTCCTTTCCCAACGTGAAAATTGTGTTTTCCACTTATCAGTTTTTTAAAATATTACTTAAAAACTTTAAGCTTATTATTTTACTTTGGAAGATGCTTTGAGAGGGGGTTTAAACTTTAAAATGTAAATAATAAAAACTGGCTGGGTACCTGTCTATATGTAAAATGTTATGTAGAGATTCTTTGTTATTCCTTTATCTGTTTATCATAGGATGCTGTGCCCCTTTCCTTATCATAGGTGCCTTCACTAGCAGGCAAACAGATCTGAGATACATTTTGGGACTCGCATACTGTCAGGACTTCAGTTTTCCTAATGTACGATAACAGTATTTTCTCAGTTAAGAGAAAGAGAATTTAGAACTTAAATGCTCTCTTCCAGGATAAAAATACATTTTTAAATATTTTCCTGGAGTTCAAATACTGGTTTCTTTCTAATACTGTCACTGTTCACATGCAGACTGAAAGTGCATAAAAATCTGTTAGGCTTTATTTCTAATTAGGTTGGAGGGAAATCAGGTAGGTGGCAGTGATTGGGAAAAGAGGCAGAAATGGATTGGAAAAGAAGACAACGAATATTACCACAAGAATGGTTTTCTGTTGAGTCAAGGACAAGGGAAGAGCTCCAGAACCAGGAAATTGAAGAAAGGATCTTTTAACTCTCTAGATATGATGTCCTTTCAACAAAATTTATCAATAGTTATCCCAGAACTATCAATCTAAAAGATAAATAGCATTCCAAAAATACAGGAATTGATGGATTTAATAAAATGGTCATAATGCAGCAGTTCTGATTTGGCATAACTGATTGACTGACAGGTCAATTAAGAAACTAATATTACAATGGAACATAAAGAACATTTCAATGCAGGACCAAAGCATGCCGACAGAAGTGACACAGAGATGTGTTCCCAGGTCTCATGCATCTAATCTGATGATAGTACTTAAAATGCATCTGGAAATATTACCACAAACTTCTGCTGAATGGTCTAGATAACAGCCATGGTTGAGGTAATAAGTGCTGTACAAATACTTTAAATAAATAACTAAATGCACAAAATATTGTAGCATTTATTAGCATTAATTAGAACTGCTGTGATACCTCCATGGGTGAAAATTACTTTTATAATGCCAGTAATAAAGAAGTAACACCTGTGGAACTCATTTGTAGTTGCTAATAAAGCCAAATTATTACTGACATATTAAATTAAAGACAAATTTAAAGCTGTGAAAGGCAAATACCCTGCCCACAGCAGGAGTAAGAGGGCAACAACAAAAATGACGAGGCAAGCCCTCCTTTATCTTCTTTCTAAAGCAGGTTACGACAGATCACTGAGGACATTCAAGGGGACATATACAGATAGTATATGATGGCAAGGACAGGACTAGAATCAAGAATATTACCTTTTTAAGTAGAATACTGTAGATCGAAAACGGTGGTATACCCATATTCTAGCAGGCTGAGTGGAATGATTAATAATATGCTGAATTTCTTCCATTGCTAAAATGTTGGGTGACCAATCTTTAGATTGAATGTGTAATGGCTTTGCTTTATAGAAATTTATTCAATTTTCAATGGTTTTCTTGGATTCAGTTTTATTTATTTTTATTGGGGTTCCTCTGGTTTTAGTCTCTAGTCTTCTGTGCACAAGCATTTAACTAAACTATAGCTTAATCTCAGTAAAGAGTCTAATTTTCCTTCATGCACTTAGTCATTGTATTGCACTGCTTTACTCACCTTGGAAGGCTTACTACCAACTTTAAGATATGGTTTCCAAAACTGGCTTAATTCTTTATGTTGTTGAAATCAATAACATAAACTACAACAAATATAGTTTAATTAAATGCAGAAGCTTCTAAGCTCCTTTCCTGTCATGTGGGAGAAAAAAATGAAAGTAACCAAGCCAAATGAGACCAGGCATATTCCACCTGACTAAGGTATAGTTTATAAAGTGATGTCTGAATGTTGCTAAAGGTCTTTGCAATCTAACATCAAAATGGACCCAAATTAATATTTATATCTTGCTCATTAGGAAGTGTGCCGTTTTCACACTGGTAAGTTAATGGCAGGAATATTTGAAAGGGCAACTTTCATCTCTTACGTAGTTAACACTCCTGACCAAGACAACATGAAGATTAATTTACAGAAATATAATTTGGGAATTATAATATACAGTAGCAATACCCTAGACTCCTTTTGAGGGAGTCCTTCAAGAAAACTAGTTATTCCAGACCAACAATGCCAAATCATTTCCAGAAACATTAACAGATGTTTAGTATAATCCTAAAAAGAAAAATATTTTGAAAAGTGTTTCTGAGCAAACATCTCAAAAGTAAACTTTTGATCCCTTTCAAATTCAGCTCTGTTTAGGAGAACACTGATCTTTGACAAACAATGAAGGATCAGCAGTTGGCCTGTTTGACTGTTCAAAACCTTTATTCTAGATAGAACCTTATTTACAATTGCTCTCCACAGGCCTGAAAGAAGAGTCAAGGAAAGCAATAGATTGCAAAATGCTGTGGAACTTTAGAGGTCATTACTGGTTAGTACCTTTTATTGCTGACTGTTTATCATGTCAGAGATGACAAATTCTTCCATCTTCAGGAATGTATCTTCTCAGCTGTTCTAGAAGCTCAATTTGCTATGGTTTGGAAGATAGTCATCTACACACTATTCTAGATGGACCATAAAATAATCTTACATGAACAATCAATAACAGAAAGCATTCTCCTCTCCTACCTCAACATCAAAGGACTCGTCATATTTGCTGGGATCTTCCCTGGCCAGTATGCTACTGTGGGAACACGGTGTCCCCCTTCCCACGTTGTCTGCTTTGCTGAGCTACCACCTGTAAAATTTAAAAGGGGAAAAAAAAGCATTTTCAGATGCTTATTGGCCCCAATGCTTTTTTATTCAATCAATCGAAAGAAGAATTATGAAGTAAGGGTATTAAAAAAAAGTAATCCTTTTCAGCCAAGAAGACAAAATGTCATCAGGAAGGAAAAGATACGGGATCTATTAAGACATGTAATGATACTCTTTAAAAAAAGGAGAAAACAATTGAACATATAGAATAAATATTAGTATAATGTCTCAATATTGCCTCATTTTCTTCAGAACAGCCAAGTCCCTAACTCCCCAACTCAGTGTCTGAGTTATTTTTGGCTTTCCTTGCCAGCTCAAGGTTGACTCAGCCTTCCATCCTTCCGAGGTTGGTAAAATGAGGACACAGATTGTTGGGGGCATTAGGCTGACTCTGTAAACCACCCAGAGAGTTCTGTAAAGCACTAGGAAGCGGTATACAAGTCTAAGGGCTATTGCTATATGGCAGCTTCTAAAGACTAGTAGTAGTTTCAAAGAGACAGCATGACATAGTATGTATCAAGCTACCTTTGGGTGTAAGTTTTACACTTCTGCCCCTTTTAAATTACTTTCTCTTGGGAGCCCTTGAGAAAGCATAGTAGACCCAAGATGCTGCAGAGACCAACTTGGTGAATGACACACATAAAAGCCCAGTTTTAGTAGTCAGCGGATTTATTTACATTTACATAAAACTATGTGGCTCCAGAATAATGTTAAACCTGGGAATTCACTGTGGAGATTGCTAGAATTGAAGCTGAGAGAAAGAAGTAGATGCATATCATGAAAGATTAGGCAAATCAGTGATCAAGCTAAGGAAGGGTGGCTCCCTTTTCAAAGAACAAGGCCAAACTGTGAGGGTTCCCACCCAAACAGCAAAAACAACTTTAGAGGATATCAAAACTTACAGATGTATTCAGTGTTTTAAGATTTGGAGATTTGAAGAACTGTGTCAGCAAACCTACATGAATGAAAATAAACACTTCCCACAAATTTCAAGATAATCCAACTTTGCTTCCAGGTCCAGATGTCAAGATGGGGATGAAGCTGGGTGTGCTTATACTCTCTTTATGTAACAAGATTTGGAAATGTTCATTGCACAAACTGTTTCATCAGATTGCAAAAACATTTATATAACGATACACCTGGCACAGCTGCCTTGTTTAAAAAATTATCCCTCCTGCAGGCACTGTAGGCAATTTCCCCTTTGCCTCTTCACACAGAAACATAGGAAGCAGATCAGACTAATCCACTTTTCTCTGAAGGGTCTTTGGCTCACCTCCTAAACTGGCAAACTTCATTTCCCCCAAAGCATTCACTTCACTTCATCTATGGTTGTCCAGCAGATCAAAAAACAATTTAGCCAGGACTTACATCTTCCAAAGCATCCTGCTATACAAAAAATTTTAATAGCTTTTCACAGCATGAAGCAAATTGAAAGTCTAGCCCTAGCAGACAATTGAAAATTTGGCAACCACAATCTTACTTCTGGCATTCAAATAAATGACAAACAACTTGAGTCAGATCCTTCTTTTAGTATTTGGGAGGTTATCAATCAATCAGACTAGGGCTGGAAAGGACCTTGGAAGTCTTCTGGTCCAACCCCCTACTCAAGCAGGAGACCCTATACCATTTCAGACACGTGTCTGTCCAGTCTCTTGTCCCAAAGGTACTTTTTCAGGAGGCAACTGGACTTTCTTGTTTTTCTTTCAAGACGTTTCGCTTCTCACCCAAGAAGCTTCTTTAGCTCTGACCGGATGGTGGGGAGTGGAAGGATTTATATTCCTTGCAGACAGCTGGTCATTTGCATTCTTTTAGAACAGGGGTGTCAAACTCGCCAGGTCACGTGACGTCACAACGTATTGCAACTTTTTTTTTTCCATTGCGGGAGCTGGGGTGGGCACAGCCTCTGCATGATGCAAACGGCCCATGGGCCGGCAATTTGACACCATTTGGAGGTTTTCTGTGTCTTTAGGGTCACCTGAGTAGTGCAAACGTGTATGGAGCCTTCTGGCTACAGGATGTTTTCTGCCGTGTTCCTGTAGTCTGCAATGTTTTCTGGAAATCCATTCATACTCCTGCACCATTCGAAGAGTGTCCATCCCAAAGTGCATAACTAAATATCTATGGAGATTCTCAGTCACTCAGGTCATGGTTGTCCCAAAGGTGCCTTTTCAGGAGTCAACTGGAATTTTTTTTTTTTTTGAAGACATTTTGCTTCTCATCCAAGAAGCTTCTTCAGCTCTGACCGGATGGTGGGGAATGGAAGGATGGTGTGGGAGTATGAATGTCCGCCCCCTAGTCCTTTTTTCTAGACAAGCCAAACCCAAATCCTACATATATTTTAGCTTCCAGGCCCCTAATAAATCTTTGTTGCTCTTCTCTGCACTTTCTAGAGTCTCAACATCTTCTTTGTAATGTGGTGACTAAAACTGGATGCAGTATTCTAAGTATGGCCTTACTAAGGCTTTATAAAGCAGTACTAATACTTCACGTGATTTGTATTCTGTTTCTCTGTTTATACAAAGCAGTACTAATACTTCACGTGATTTTTATTTTATTTCTGTTTATACAATCAAGTATTGTATTAGTGTTTTTGGCTGCTGCTGCATTCTGGTGGCTCATATTTAAGAGATCATCCACTAGGACTCCAAGGTTCCCCTTACAGTTAATATTTTTGAACCAGGTTTCGCCTAATCTGTACTTGTACCTTTGGTTTTTCCTGCCTAAGTGTAAAACTGAAGTATTGCACCAACTGCCCTAATACCACTTTTTCCAAATCTTGTTATTTTGTCATTTTTCCAATTCAGTATCTTTAATATCACTGTCTCTTGGAATGGCTATATCAATAAATGAAAAATGGTTCTTTTCAATGACAGCAATGTCTATCATCATCATCTTCTTCTTCTTCATCATCATCATGGATTATTCCTAGCACAAAACCATAAAATGTGTCTTTGCTACTAGGCTAATTCAATTTGTACAGTATAGGCAGTCTTCCACTTACGACCACAATTGAGCCTAAAATCTCTGTTGCTGAGACAGTTGTTAAGCGAGTTTTGCTCCATTTTATAACCTTTATTGCCATAGTTGTTAAGTGAATCATTGCTGCATCAGAAGTTAAGATGGGTAGGTTTATGCTGTAAACCACCAAGATATCCCAGGCAGGAGACAGTTAAAAAAAAAAAAAGCATTGTTCTGTGTTGCTAAGATATTGTACATACATGAAAATATCCAAAACCGTGCCAGTAACTGAGGTCAACATGAAGGAAACTTTATTATAAAATGATTACTTGTTGTGCCCTTAGTATACATGGAAAATTGTTCCCTTGTGGCTCTGTGCAATTTCAAATGTTTGAGTCTCCATGGAATATTCCTTCATTAGAAATGTTATTTTCCCTAGAGTAAAAAGATTTAGCTCATCTAACCTGATTTCTTTCAGATGCCCATCATGAAACTGTTTGATTTCTCTCTTAAGAAAGCCAGGTTTAATGGGGATCACAACCAGAAGCACCGACTCAGTAGAACAACAGATGCACTTGTGACAAATCTCTAGTTTTGCTTGTTAAATCTAAAGGTTCTCCACTGAAAAGTGGACTAAAGGAAACAAACTCAATTTAGATGCCCCCCACCAATGCTTTTAGTTCAAATAAATGGTGGCCAGTTGACAAATTGACCTATATTTTCTTCATTCACTATCCTGAAGCACAAAGAATATCAAATATACATCAGTTTGAACAGAGACATTTTCTGGATCACGTCTTTATGGAAGCACACATCTCCAACCAAATTCATATTCTGGCATTTATTTCATCAGAGGCTATTCAAGTTCTCTACTGCATCAAATTATAAAAAATCCAGGGAAAATCTGAGAGATGACAGAAACAAAATGTTCCCTTGAAAGAAACAGGAGAGAAACTAAAAAAACAAAAATGAAAAATCAGCAGCAAAGGAGATGTTCCTGGACCAATTTCAGATGTCACTCTTTTCCAAACACTTCTCAAGATTTTCTGAGAAGCTACAGAGAATTATCTCATACATACTGTATGATGACAATTACAGGCCTCTCTCATCTTTTTAAGTGGGAGAACTTGCACAATTGGTGGCTGACTAAATACTTTTTTGCCCCACTGTATGTAAGACATTCTATCCCAACAAGACATAGATGGAGAGTTTTTTTCCTCAAGGAAATATTTTTAGTGATCCTTGTGTACAAAAAAAAGCAGGAAAGTAGCTAGCATCTTCAGATAAGGTAACAGTTTAAGAACAGAAATAGATGGAAAATATTACTTTACAATGCAAAATGAATTATACAACTATATAAGACAGAATGTTTGAACTTTATCTCATCATTTCTTCTCCTTCTCCTTCTTCTTCTTCTCTCCTTCCCCCCCTTTGATGTTGTATTATATATAAACTACATTTTGCATATTTCATTTTATTCAACATTCCAATCTATTGTAAATTTGATTTGGGGTTTAATTAATTTTTAAAAATTGCTTCAAGTCAAAAAGTTTATGAAAAGCATCTAAGACTCCAGAGAGCTACTGATGTTCAAATAAAAAAGGCTAGCAAATTGCCGACCACTATTTCAACTTTATTCACTGTTGGCATTTATTGTCCTTTCACACATTGATCTATTACAAACATTCATAATCATAATCATAATAAACCCACAGCAAGGCACTACCTTGATGCTATGGGAATTTCTCTATGAAGTTCCCTAATCTATTTTTAAAGATTAAAATTAAAGTGATGTATTATTAATTAATTTTTATTCATATAAAAATGAATTGTTTTTATGACATAGATTTTATTTTGGAAAAGCAAGGGCTGTCAATCTGAGACATTCATTTGCGTGAACGAAACGATATCATGCGTGCAGATATGAACTTTTAAAACTACAGAACAATGTTTAAACAAAGAAAAAAACCCCTGGGACTTCTTCTGAGGGAGTTCTGCCACAGTCTTTTTTTTCCCCTTCTATATTTGGAAATGGACAGGAAACAGATGAGGAAAAGCCAGCTGCTGCTATTCCCAAAGAGTAACTGGGGAAATATGACCTTAAGAGCATCGGTTCATGCCTACTCACTCACAGACATACACGCCAAGGGTATCACATACAAAACCAGGAAAGATCTGCATTTACACTGCACCTTCCTGTCTGCATAAGCAGAAATAAATTGTCCCTCTTCCTTTGCCATCTGAGCTGAGAGAACTTTAGTTCCTGTTCTGACAGGAGTGCGCAAAGTTCCATTGTGAAAATAAGTGTGCGAGAAACCATGAAAAATAAAAGCGATCTTCTTTTTAAACTTGGTGCCTCTGACAAAACTATCTAAGGGTTAAGTACAATCACAACAGTGTGAATAAATAAAAATGGCTGCAAGCCATAAAGGAGTTTGTTTTTGATGTTACATAACATGTAACTAATATTTCTTTTATCATGTTTGAAAGAGCGAACATCACACAGACAACTTTCCCACGCTGACTGCATTTCATAAATGACTGCTGGAGGCAAAACTGACTATAGGATAGCCCTCTAACTTCATGCAGCCATGTGCCCAGCAAAGCATGTTTCAAAAGAAGAAAGGGGAGCTACCAGATTGAAAAAAAAAAGTAGTAAAAAAAGAAAATGCAGCCCAAATTATCTATTCAGAAAAGCTGACAAGAACTTTCAAAAAGTGCTGTTACCTTTTGTTTTTTGCCACATCCCTGTATATGGACCAACACTTCCTGCATAGTCACACTTTTCAGACCAAGGACCATTGTCTCCTAGAAAGATAAGAAGAGACCCTGTTGATAAACAGAACAGGAAGGTGTCTTTCATTAAAAACAACAGCAAGGTTACAGTTGAAGGGCCAACGAGTGTAATTCCCATTTCTTTCAACTGAATATTTTTTAAAAAATAACAGTTACACATGGTTTACCAAGCTTTATCAAGCTTCTTCTTCTTTTACTATCAAATGGATTATATGAAGCTGGAAAGGAAGGTATAAGATTATAAAGGATATTAAAAGACCACCGAATTCCATCCCTGCAGAGATTCACCTGTTCCTTAATGCAGGAGTTTAGTAAATTCTCTAAGATATCTTCAGAGAAAGAAAAGGAAATAAGTCACTTTATTGTTACGATCCCTAACCCACCAAAATAAAAAGTATCATCATAGGTATAATTCTAAAATAAAAGTTTAGACTGCAGAAACAAAAATGGGTAGCTTTCCTTGAACAGACAGTGACAAACAAGCATAGCGATTGTGCAAAACTTGATGATAAGATCAAGTTGGCCAAACAAATCTATTGGCTGGAGGAAAAATAAATAACAAAGGCTTCCTCTATCCTACTCGGAATTTTAACATATAAGGATGCTTTACAAGGGACTATTGAGGCTGAGAGAATACAGTCTTCAAGTCCTAAGCTGGGGTAGGTTCTGGAATGACTCAAGAGTTCACAGCCTGCCTGGCAACTATGGGCTTTTTTCACCTGATGACTAGTTCAACTCATTTCCCATCTTTGCCTGTTTTGCATGTTTTGATCTATATCAAACAGATCTAGCATATTCTCCCACAGAGTAATATAAGGCTAATGTGGAAGTTCTTTCTGTGTGCAGTTGGTCACCTCTTCTTATGTTCGTTATTTTCCTCAGCACTTATAGCTGACAAATATTATAATTTGTCAAGACCTGAACATTTTTTCTTTTTCCTCTTCTATTTATATTTCAATCTATTCTACTTACTCATTATTCTTGTTTTCATTCTTTCTTTTCTAATATTTATATTGATTTTATTTTGTTAAAAATATTCATTGTATTTATATGGCTGACCATCTCACAAGAGTGCGTGTCTGGATGATGCACAACAGAGAATTTGTTTAATAAAAATTTCTTTAATAAAATTTGTATTTTTTTTACAAAAGAAAATCTGGCTGCCAAACAAATTGCATACAAATGGGTCCCTAAACAGGGCTGTGAAGCAGGACAATTACAAACTCTAAAATATTAACATTGTTTTTTCCTCAAAACAGGGAAAACAACTTGCAGAGAGACTTTTTTTTCTGAGTGAGGAGGAAAGCTACAGTATTTGCCACTTGAATAATTCTTAAAGACAAAACAATAATAAGAAAGATTTTGCCTTGGAGTTTAATGAACCACGTTTTAGATCCCTCACTTGGGAGAAAACAACTCATTAACAGCAGACTTCGGAACTGGCTATTTTGTTCTTATGTAACGAAGTGCTTAATTATTACTCAAAGGTGACAAGGTTTGTGTTTTTGGCTAGAATTGAAGAATTTGTTCAAGCAAACAGTGCCTATGGTGAACAAACTTCAGAATGGGCAACTGATACATGCAGAATCCCTTGAAAAGTTATAAGTAAATTGAGCAGTCTGTTCACCGTCTGCATTAAATTTTGTGACAAGAAAGAATCCCTGCCAAGGTTAACCTACACTCCACAGCTGTTCCTGAGAACAATCTAGGACAGCCAGTTGCATCGCTTCATCTACTTTATGGCTAAAACTCAGCTACAGCTACGAAAGTGTTGTAAATTCAGAAGGAGCAAGGATATACTCTCTTAAAGGAGAACTGAACGGTATGCTATGCCCTAAATCAGTTTCAGAAATTTACAGAATCTGAAACCCCTACTCTGGCTTTTATTTTATTTTTTTTAAAAAAGCACTTTCGTAAAAGCAGAACTTGTGTGCTGATTTCTCTTTTCAGATGGGAGCCCAGCTGTGTGGAGAAAATAAGTTTACTCAATAGAATTCAAGACGTGATGGGTCATCCGAGAACTTGTGACACTGGAGGATTATTGAAGTTAAAAGGAAGAGGCACTGCCCAGTTCTTTAACTGGTAGATCCAGGACGACTCAGAAGTCAAACACAGATTTCACAGATGTACAAACAATTATAGCTTGAAGCAGCAAAACATCAGAACTGCAAATTAATCTGAACATCAATTTTACAGTTCCAGTAAATTATTCTGAATGTTAATAACAAGTGTTGCTATTCATCTTTATTTCTGACTGGTTTAAAAACCATTTCTGAGGAAACACCCCCCCCCCCGCTCATTTATGATTAAATCTAGCAGTGGATAAAGTTGTTTAAGTTCCTTCAAATACAGCACAAGTACAAGCACACAAAAAATATATATCCATTCTACCACAGCAACTTTTTAATTTGTTCCATGAATTCCTAAGAGTAAAACATTTTTATTAGCAGAGATTCATTTGGGGGACAGGAGCTACCAGCTGATCCTTCAAAAGGAGGCCTTCCTGACTCAATCTCCTTTTTTTCCCCACTAAAGCTCTTGGAACCTATAGAGTATATGACAAAATAAATCTCTATGAGACCAATTTTAAGAATCAGTGATGGCTGCAAGAAGCCAGTATCTGTCATAAACCATCAGCCTGTCAGATGCTTTGGGGGAGCACTATCTTTTCAGAACATTTATCTGAGTTTATTGGATTTGTTTGCTACTCATCTCAACATAGGTTCCAGGGTGTCTGGATGAGCCACAGATGAAAGAGTTCTACTTGGGCTGGTAGTTATACTGCCCGCTCCTGTTTCAGAATGGGTCTCACGTCTCCTGTATGCAACAGAACAAAAGACCCCAGTCCCAGATACAGGTAGTCCTTGTCTTATAACCATTCATTTAGTGATCATTTGAAGTTGTAGGCACACTGAAAAAGTGACTTATGACCATTTTTCACCCTTACAACCATTGCAGCACCCCCATGGGTTACCAAGTCAAAATGTGGATGCTTGGCAATTGACTTGTATTGATGATGGTTGTCCCAGGATCATGTGATCACCTTTTGCAGCCTTCTGAAAAGCAAGGTCAGTGGGGAAGCCCGATTCACTTAATAACCATGTTACTAATTTAATAGATGCAGTGATTCGCTTAACAACTGTGGCAAGGCTCGCTTAACAACTGTCGTGCTTAGCAATGGAAATTTCAGACTCAGTTGTGGCTGTAAATCATAGACTCCCTGTAAATGGCTGAAGTTTATTTTTAACCAGGGCTATCGGATACAAGCCTTTTAGTGTGCGTGTTGCTAGTAGAAGCCCAACAATGGAGTAACAAGGAATAAAAGACTGTTCATCTTAATGAAGTTAAAGTATGGAAAACTGGATTACCTGCATTATAACACAAGACTGAGTTCTGCGTACAGAAGCTAACCATCATTAACTTCTAAACGCTCTGAGCAAACAAAGAAACAAGGGGGATAGACAAAGGAAGAAAATAAAGCTAGCAGCAGAATAAAAGCAGCACTGAAAATAAGTAAGCAGCACTGAAAATAAGAAAATAAAATAAAGCTAGCAGCAGAATAAAAGCAGCACTGAAAATAAGTAAGCACTGATACCTCTATACTTTTATTGCTTTTAATGCTCCTAGGTCAGTGGTTCTCAACCTGTGGGTCGGGACCCCATTTGGGGTCGAACGACCATTTCATGGGGGTCGCCAAACAACGCAGTCTGCCATTTTTCCCCCTTAGCTCTGCTACTCCCTTTTATTCTATTGGCTTTTGAAAGCCAATAGAATAGACTCTCTTGAATAGAGTCTAATTCTATTGGCTTTCAAAAGCCAATAGGAATTGTCCAGGCTGTCTCTGCCCTGCTGAGCCCGCCAAAAGTCCCATTCTGCAAACGGTGCTGCACCAGTTGAGTAGTCCTCGACTTACAACTGGTTGAGTAGTCCTCAACTTACGACGGTTGGGGGTCGCGGCATTAAAAAGGTTGAGAGCCACTGACCTAGGTCATTAGAGGCACAGGGTTCAAGTCCTAGGGCCAGTCAGGGAAATCTGTTCCATGACATTTTTGCTTCCCTGAGGACTTTCAGCCAAGACTGTATGAAGGCAAAGAAACTTTTTTCTCACTCTCCATGAATCTGCTGCATCTTTCTTTAGAGTATAATATGCACAGTAACCACTGGTCAGCAAGCCCTTTATTTTAAGAGCCGTGAGCTAGACTGCAGGGATTAGAGAGAGCTTGGCTTGCAACCTTAGCTTTGCATGTCCAAATTGTCATGAACCCAGGCTGCATAAAATTTTGGGCACTGATAGTTCCCCTTTTCCCACCGCATTCTCGTTTTCCATTAAAATGCTATTGCTAATTAATTTTAAATAAAGACCTTTATTATTTTGGGACTATATTCTGCAGGAAGAATGTGTCTGCACTACAGAATATGTTGGATGCCTATCCTGAAGCCCTCCTATTAGGTTTATAAATTCAAATCATTAAACCTAGCCATGCAAGAGATTTAAAATGTGCGTCTATTAATTAATCCAATTTCCAATTTATATTTTTCTAACAACTTAAACTAAAATAGCCATTCCAGTCTAGCAGAAACTCGATAGGCATGTATTACTGCTTGATAAGATAGAAAAATGCATCACCACCAGATGGATTCGTAGCTGGCTGACCGGCCGTACTCAGCGTGTGGTCCTCAATGGAATTGCATCTACCTGGAGGGAAGTGTATAGTGGGGTGCCCCAGGGCTCTGTTCTGGGCCCAGTGTCTTCAATATCTTCATCAACAATTTGGACAAGGGGATAGATGGGAAACTCATCAAACTTGCAGACGACACCAAGCTGGCAAGAATAGCCAATACTCCAGAAGATAAGCTTACAGAAAGATCTTGACAGACTTGAACATTGGGCACTATCTAACAAAATGAAATTCAATGGTGAAAAAAGTAAGATTCTACATTTAGGCAAGAAAAACCAAATGCACAGGTATAGCTTAGGAGGTACCTTGCTCAATAGTAGCAACTGTGAGAGGGATCTTGGAGTTCTAGTGGACAATCACTTAAATATGAGCCAGCAGTGTGCTGCAGCTGCCAAAAAAGCCAACACAGTGCTAGGCTGCATTAACAGAGGGATAGAATCAAGATCACGTGAAATGTTAATACCACTTTACAATGCCTTGGTAAGGCCACACTTGGAATACTGCATCCAGTTTTGGTCACCACAATGTAAAAAAGATGTTGGGACTCTAGAAAGAGCAAGAAAGATGATTACGGGCCTGGAGGCTAAAACATACAAGGAACAGTTGCTGGAATTGGGTATGTCTAGTTTAATGAAGAGAAGGATGAGGGGGGACATGATAGCAGTGTTCCAATATCTCAGGAGCTGCCACAAAGAAGAGGGAGTCAAGCTATTCTCCAAAGTGCCTGAAGGCAGGACAAGAAGTAATGGATGGAAACTAGCCAAAGAGAGATGCAACCTAGAACTAAGGAGAAACTTCCTGACATTTAGAACAATTAATCAGTGGAACAACCTGCCTCCAGAAACTGTGAATGCTCCAACACTGGAAGTCTTTAAGAAGAGATTGGACAGTCATTTGTCTGAAATGGTATAGGGCAGGGGTAGGCAACCCAAAACACTTAAAGAGCCACTTGGACCTGTTTCCCACCAAAAACAAAACACTGGGAGCTGCAAAACCCTTTTGATATCTAAAATGAAGATAACACTGCATATATCCTTTTTTACCTTTATTATAGGTGTGTGTGTTTGTGTGTGGGGGGGTATTTGTGTGTGTGTATGTGTGTGTGTGTGTGTGTATGTATATGTATGTATGCATGTATGTATGTGTATATATATATACACACACACACACATACACATACACACACAGGTTAAAAAAAGGATATATACAGTGTTATCTTCATTTTAGATGTCAAGAGGGTCTCTCTCTGTCTCTCTCCCTCCCTCTCTATCTGCCCTTGGTCTACCACTCCTCTTCCCCCACTCTCTTTCTTTCTCTCTCCTCTCTCCCTCCCTCTCTCTCTTTCTCTCTCTCTCTTTCTCCCCTCCCTCTCCTATCTGCTGATCACCTGGCAAGCTTCAAGCTGTTGTCCAACAAGATCAGGGGTAGGCAACCTCGTCTCTTTTATGACTCATGGACTTCAACTCCCAGAATTCCTGAGTCAGCCTAGCTGGGCTAGCTAGCTCTCTCCTGCCCTTCCTGCTTCCTGCAGAGATGCAGCAAAGGGAGGAGCTCCGCCCAGTAAGCTTTTCAGCTCCTTGGAGAACATACACACACACACACACACACACAAAACACACACACACACACAGAGAGAGAGATTGAAGCAGGGAAGTGCAATTGCCTCTCTCTGTCTCTCTCTCTCTGCAAAGGCAGAGGAGGCTGGGAGCCACAGGGCAAGGCTCAAAGCGGCTCCGGAGCCGCAGGTTGCCGACCTGTGGTATAGGGTTTCCTGCCTGGGCAGGGGGTTGGACTAGATGACCTCCAAGGTCCCTTCCAACTACTACTACTGCTGCTGCTGCTGCTACTACTTATTATTATTATTATTATGGATCATCGCACAGTCAGCCAGATGTTCAGACTGGGTTTGGCATTTTGTCTACCTATCGAGTCCTTACCCATGACCTGGGATAGGCAGATATGGATGTTTGATGGTATTACAGATATCGTCGCAGGATGGAAGCAGTTCCTAATAAGGCCGCCTTTTGCAATTGACTAATAGCGAATTTGTCAATGCCAATGGTGTTCAAGTGGTGCTCCAGTTGTTTTGGGATTGCACCCAAGGAGCCTATGACTATTGGTACTACCCTTGCTTGCTTTTGCCACAGTCTTTCTATTTCTATTTGTAGGTCTTTGTATTTTGTTATCTTCTCCAGTTCTTTCTCTTCTATTCTGCTGTCTCCAGGCACTGCCACGTCCACTATCCAGACTTTTTTGTCTTTCTTATCGACAATTGTTAAGTCTGGGGTGTTATGTTGCAGGTGCTTGTCTGTTTGAATTCTGAAGTCCCAGAGAAGTTTAATTTTATCATTTTCTATGACTTTCTCTATTTTATGATCCCACCAGTTTTTGCTTACAGGCAAATGATATTTTTTGCAGATCTTCCAATGCACCATTGTTGCTACTTTGTCATGCCGCTGCTTGTAGTCAGTCTGTGCAATCTTCTTGCAACAGCTTACCAGGTGGTCCACTGTTTCTTCAGCTTCTTTGCATAGGCGGCACTTACTGTCTGTTGCTGTCTTCTCAATTTTGACTTTATATGCATTTGTCCTTAAGGCTTGGTCTTGTGCAGCCAGAATTAGTCCCTCGGTCTCTTTCTTCAATTTTCCTGCTCTTAGCCATTGCCAGGTCTTGTTATTATCTGCTTTCCCAGCTATTTTTTTAATGTATTGGCCATGTAGTGCTTTGTCTTCCCATGCCTCTATTCTGTTCTTCATTTGGTCTTTCTTGTATTATTATTATTATTATTATTATTATTATTATTATTATTATTATTATTAAGTGAAGTCCATTTTTTATATTCGTGGCATGTCCTGTCAGTGTTGGTATGGCCCATGTCCACCAAAACTGACGGTGCACACCACTAGTATATAAAAGGACAGCAAATCCTACATCCTTCTAGCACTGATGATGTTACCTAACTGGGTAATGAAATGTCTTCAAGAAAATCACCATGTTCAGAAGGCGCCAAGGAGCTCACAGTTCAACCTGAGCTACAAATATTCTTTTTCACAGACTTATAAATCAAGCATAAATATAGTCAGGTTTTTTTTTATTCCAATGTGATGCTGGAAAAACATTTAACTGAATCTTCAATCTACTTACCTTAATAAATCAATACTGTTCTCCATTAACATAATTCTATAATGTTGAATATAATCTAGCATTTCATAATTACGTTCAATACTCAAATAGGGCTATCATATGAAATTGTTACACCATCTCTTTCTGGTTGGGGATAGGTAATATTTTAGATTTAAATCAAGAATGAGGGACAGATCTTCCTTTTAAAATAGAGTTACAGAGATTGTATAAGTGTGGTATTTTCTCATGTACGGATGGTGGCATGTGGGCCTCTTGTATTCAAGCAGGGACTTGACAGTTATCCATCAGGGATGTTTGTTTCCTGCACTGCACCCTAGCCACACCTGAGACATTTAACATACTTCATTATTTAATTTACCAGGCTGATTCATGCTATTAGCCTCATTGTATCCAGCAAGTTTTCGGGATAGACTTTCAAATGTCCCCACCAAAATGATATCTCTGTGCCACCTGTATTGCCGTGAGGGGCTTTATTACTTCACCTGTAAACCAGAGGAATGTATCTTCCTTTGCTGTGCTGTCAACTGCATCCTTGACCTGTCCCACCAAAGCATCCATTTCTTTCAAGTATGTTCCATAGGGATCTTGGCAAGATTGATTCCAAGGTGTCTCAGACAAGACCAAAGGCACATGCATATGAGCCAGAGCAAGATACAGGAAGAAAGGGAGGCCTTTCTGGCTGGCAAATGAAATAAAATAAAGGTTTGCGACAGTTAATTATGTGGAGGAGCAACATCCTTGATCACAATTATTACACCTACTATTAGTAGTGGGTAAACTAGTCTCACACAGCAACTGACTAAAATTCCAACAGTTGTATAGGTAGTCCTTGACTTACAACCATTCATTTAGTGACCATTCAAAGCTACAAAGGCATTGAAAATAAAGTGACTTATGACCGGTTTCCACACTTAAGACTGCTGCAGCATCCTCATGGGTCATGTGATCAAAATTTGGTATCTGGCCTATGTTTATGACAGTTGCAGCGTCCCATGGGATCACCATTTATAATCTTCCCAGCTGGCTTCCCACAAGCAAAGTCAATGGGGGAGGGGAAACCAGGTTTGTTTAACAACTGCATGATTTATTTAAAAAATTCGGTGATTTGCTTAACAACTGTGGCAAAGAAAGGTCGCAAAATCTGGTGCAATTCACTTAACAACTGTCTTGCTTAGCAATAGAAATTTGAGACTCAGTTGGAGTTGTACCTCTACTTTTGTATTTTCTTTTCTTTGGCTTCTTAAGCAAATTTCCTTTTCTACCAAACTTTCATTTATCTCATTTACTAAACAGGTTCATATCAGCTTTCCTAGCGGATATTGATTTCTAAGAAGGTGACCAAGTGACTCTGAGCAACTTAAATTTTAAAAAATGACAATAATTACAATAATACAAATAAATATATTACAGATTTATAAAAAAAAATATAACAGTAAAAGGAAATTCTCACATTTTCCGCAAGAAGAAATTATTGTTAATTCATATTTAATTAGAAGGTACATTAAAGCAGATCTGTGCAAAAATTTGGGAATCAAAGCTACATTTTCCCTTTTATCTGATGAGGAACCATGACTTGGAATTGAGTAGAGATAAAAACAAAATTGGATTAATGTTCATTTTAATTAAAATTAAATACAGCTAATGCCTTTATTCTCTCTGTATTTAATAATGCTCCTTTTCCTTCCATATTTAATAATTTCCCAATTGGCTTTTACAAAAATCTTATCTTGGCTATAAAAGTTGGATCAAAGGATGTCAATGACCATACTTGATCTAACAAATACTGCAAAACCAAAGGCTGGTATTACTGCTACTTTTTCCTGGGATGAGTGGAAAAACAGATTCTGTTTCATTTTCTGGGATTATTCTGTTTGCACTTTCTGTCCTATGGTGTCATCTCAGTTTTGAAAACCATTTTGCAACATAAGCCTCCACCCAGTTGAGCAATTGATTAAAAGAAAAAAGCTGACAGGAATAATTTTTCCCTCTGGCACTGAAATTCATCATTACTTGAACTTTTGATTCCCTTGAAATAACACCCAAGAACAGTTTCTCTCAGCACCACTCCTGTTTGTCTCTTTTGCAGGGTCTGAAGCAAGAGTTGTACAATGTCACTTTTCTTCTTAACTAAAAAGATTGACCCATACTTTGATCCAGAGAGATTTGACTCATACCTGCATTTCTTTTTATTTTTCATTAGAATTTTAAATACAATAAAAGTACGTATAAAGAATCAAAGGAAAGTATAAAAAAAGAAAATAAAAACATAGAATTATGACTTCCTCCCCCCCCCTCTCTCTCTCCCTCCCTCCCTCCCTCTTATAACCCTTCTATTCCTTCCATTCCCTACCTCCCTTTTTTATTCTTGAACCATTCCTTGAATTACCTTGAGGTAAGATGGGCAGCCTATAAATTTTATAAATAATTACCAGCATTTCTATAATCCCACATCACATATAACTTCTGGAATTCACCTCACTGATTTTTCTTCTGTTATCACCAGAGTTGAACTCTAGGAAAAAGTTTGGAAGACTTCCTAATGATAGCCTTTCTACATATACAGTTAAAGTAAGCACATTTTTAAAAACCAGAAAAAAAAACAGTCACAGGCTCTTGCTATTTTTTATCCCCTTTCATCTAGACCAGGGGTAGGCAACCTTGGCTCTTTTATGACTCGTGGATTTCAACTCCCAGAATTCCTGAGCCAGCATAGATCAGCATGTTTTTCTGGCAGTGGGCATCAAAGCAGTTTTGTGCAATGTGGCAGATGCCAAAAAAAAAAAAAAAAAAAAAAAGCATATAAATTTAGAATAAAAATGGCTGAAATTGCATGAGAGCTCATAGAAAAGATATCTTATGGGCTTTAGTAATTATCTGGACTATCTTAAACTTTTCATTTTTATAAATACATACACACACACATATACATACATACATACATATTTTAAAATAGAGGTCAATGGGCATTGTCTAGCAGTTGCATCAGCATAATGGTGCCTGAAAGCCAGGGTAGATGGAAGAAGCAGAAATTTATAAGAAATTTTATTCTTCCCAGCAAGATGCCTAGCATAGAGTAGTACTATTACTCCAACTTGCAGAAATCCCCCAAGGCCTCAAAATGTTGTAACTTTGCGGTCAAAGATTGAATAAGAAGGTTGCATCATTGACTTTTGAATGTTCCTCTATATTTATCCTTTCTGGGTTTTGTTTTTACGAGAAATAGTTGAACTATGTGGTCAATTCTTAATGCTTCCATCATCTCACTTACAAAATTTTGGTCACTGAAATGTATTAGAAAAATTGTTTTATCTTGCAAAGGTTTATATTTAATTGCCAGGTCAGGAAATATTAATTAACCTGCACTGAAATGTTCACATTATCAATTGCTTCCCAGTCAACATCATTCTGTAAGACAGACAGGGAATGTTCTATTTTTGATTAAGACATTGGGTGGGAAAGAGAAAGGAAAGGAGAAAGAAAAAGAATTAGACAGGATTTTCTTGACCTTCTTGGAACTTCCTTAACCTCAAGCCTCTTTAAGAGCTACAAAAGTATAAATCCTTCTTTCCTTCCTTTTCTCCTTGGAGACAGAAGAAATCTTAGCATGGTTAAATTTGGGAAAGGATATGAAACGTGGGAAGCACAAGTGGGCTAGGAACAAAGCTGAGAAATGTTTTGAGGGAATAATTATGGAATAACATTTTATTTCAAACAGGATTCATATTATTCTTTAAATATCTGCACCAATTCAAAATATCAGCTTCATTAAAATGAGTTTAGAGCAGGGGTGTCAAATTGCCGACCCCTGGGCTGGATGCGTCATGGCGAAACCATGCCCACCCCATTGCCGGCAATGGAAAAAAAATCACGATACGTCGCAACACGTCAAGTGATGTTGCGAGTTTGATACCCCTGGTTTAGAGCATTCACATCTATATCTGTTTCATCAGAAACAACACAGATTCAGGGGGCTTATTACTGCAATCTGTTTGAGTACAGAACATAGTCACTGCCTTCTGTAATGTAAGAGCGGTGGCTGTTACTTTATTTATTTATTTGTTTGTTTGAAACATTTACAGCATTTAACTACTGATCTTTCAACCAACTCTGGGGAGCTCCAATCAAAAATTAACCTCAAGACTTAGTTTTCCACTGACACTAGCAATTTAGAGTTATTCATCAGAATACATGAGCTGACAAAGGATTAAGAGAAATAAACTATTCTATTACAAGGCTTGCTTGTCTTGGAAGTGTACGTAGTCACAATTTTATGATCACAATTGAGCCCAAAATTTCTGTTGCTAAGTAAGACAGTTTAAAGTGAATTTTGTCCCATTTTTACAATCTTTCTTGCCACAGTTGTTAAATGAATCACTGCAATTCTTAAATTAGTAACATGGTTTTTAAGTGAATCTGATTTCCCCACTGACTTTGCTTGTCAGGTCACAAAAGGTGATCACATGACCCCAGGATACTGCAACTGTCATAAATATGACCCAACTGCCAAGCATCTGAATTTTGATCATGTGACCATGGGGAAGCTGCAATGCTCTTAAGTGTGAAAAGTGGCCATAAGTCACTTTTTTAGTACTAACTGAACGGTGACTAAATGAACTGTTGTACGTTGAGGACTACCTGTACTATTGACTTATAGGATGGTAAGCCAATTTACAGTGTGATCTTAAATGTCACAGTTATTATTTTATTTTTTCCTCTTCAGTCAGTGTGCAGTGGCATCTGTGAAAGAGGGGGTGAGGGTCAAAGAAAGAAAGGCAAGATGGCAGGAAGCTCCTTTTATACAGAGAGCAAGGCCAATACAATTGCAATGCCAATTCCACCATCTTCTCTGTTTTTATTCCTCCCACAGACAATACTACCAGTGTGACTTTCTGGCAGAAGAATTACTTTTCTTGAAACTTAGCAATGTTTGGGTTACTAATCCTGAATTAAATCTAAGAGCACGGTTAAATAAGAAAGATTCTTGATTTTTGTCCAGGTGTGATTTTGTGAGCTATTTCCCCCCCCCCCCCAGTGTCAAACTCTCCTTTGCTCACATACTCTCTGAATCCTTCATGCCCACTAAAACTCAGAGCTGCTAGATTTTTTGTTCACTTCTTTGTGCAATTCCATTAATTGATTAGTCAATAAACTCAGGATAAACAAAGAATGGAAAAACTTTTCTAGGAAACAGTCCAATGCTGGAAAAGGTGGAAAGAAAGAGAAGAAAAGGATGGCCAATAGCAAGGTGGATGGACTCCACAGTTACAGTGCTCATGGGTGCACCCTTAGAAGACCAAATTATGGACAGATCATCGTGGAGGAAATCTATGTGGTTGCTCAGAGTTGAAAATGACTTGATGGCATATGATCAATCAAAACAAAGAATATATCAATAAGATGTACAAATCCAGATCTAAACTCCCTCACTTCAGATTATGTTTCTCTCTCAGGAAATAATTTCTCCCTGGACTTACTTCCACATGGAACGGTTTACTTCTCCCTGCTATTATTTAGCAAATGACATCATTTTCTATCCTGCACTAATTTATTATAGTATTTCTTTGAATACTATAATAAATCACTTGCATTAAAATTACAACTGTTACATCAACTTTCATATATTTCCCAGGAAAGAAGAGGATCTGGCAAGAATGGAAGATAAAGAAATCCTCCCTGACT